TATCTTTAACTTTGGTAATAATTAACGTTTACAACGTAAGGAAATATATTGTCATATGCAACAACCAAAGGTATAATGGAGTTAATAAATATTTAAACTTATACTGATCTATACCTGTTTATCGAATATCTAACTAGGGGAAAATATGACGTGGGTACGAGTAACTAACACAAGAATCATCACAAAGCATACGCCCGTTACAATACGAACTTCATTAACAGGGGTGAACTACTTGCACAAAAATTGCTCCTCTAGTGTTATGAGGAAGAACGACTTAAATCTACTATCACTACAAAAGTCTAAAAGTCTGAAAAGACCAGTTTTTGACTTAATTTGCATGAACTTTTACTCGACATTCTCCAAAAGTATGGCTTGTGTCTTAATTTTTCTTGACAAATTCTCATTTATATTAAATTTGTATGAAATTTACTCGACATATTCTCGACATTCTGAATATGGTCTTAAAATTTCTTGACAAATTCTTGACATTTGAATACTGTCTTGAAATTTCTCGACATATTCTCGACATTCTTATTTTTTCTCAGTATGGCTTGACATATTCTGAACATTTTGAATCGTGTCTTAAATTTACTTGACAGTTCTGAGTTTTACAAATCATGACCAATATTCATGATATAACTTTAATCTTTATTTCTCTTTATATGATATACTGTTGTTTCAAGTTACACTTCTTTACAACAAAAATAAAAGTTGGGCATGTAAAAAAATTGAAAATTTGGGTATATAAATATTTTTACAAATGCAAATATGGCTATGAAGTCTAAAGTATAAAATAATTCAAATGTGGGTGTGTTGATATAAAACAATTTCAATGTGGGTTTTTAAATAATTACAAATTTTGATTCCTAAATCTTATAAATTAAATAATTCAAACCAATCATAGTGTAGACATATTTCATTCTACATTCATAATATTCAATGTTGATATGGTAAATAATTATTATACCAAAATGTGGTTTATAAATAGCAAATTATGATGATATACTAATCATTCATTTAACAGAAGAAAAATTTGTGTAATGTCATCTGTTGGAATATATTAAGTATTACACATGGACAGGATGTTCCCCATAAAATTAAGGTATACCACACCCCAGAGTACATGCAACTGTCAAATAGAAGTTATTGCTTTACCTGTAATCAGCCATACAACTTATCAGTTGACCGACCATGCCACTACAATTTAAAAAGTTTGTTGATAGATGAAAATGAAAATCATCATCTTGATAAAAAAAAAATTGAATTGAAATTGATGTTCTTCATCAAAATTATGAAGTTAATTATTTTAACATAAAAACAAATTGAATAATTCCCAAAGATTAAAAGACATGCATAATATAGATCCAAACATTTTTTTCTTTTCAGGAAGGAGTTATCACAAATATTTATTTTTGATAAAAATTATAAAATTCAACGCTCAAATTTGAATAAAAAATGTTTTTGGGTTGTTCTAAAAAATGAATAAGGTTTTTGAATCAAGATGGGAACAAATTCTTTGACCTAAACGAAAGCCAATCCCCCCACCCCCCCCCCCCCCTCTTTTTTTAGCCAAACAAACCCAAAAGATGAATTGTGGGGTCCAAAAGAGATACAAGACACCTATTTTAGTAAAGCAAATTTGACTGGCAGTTTGTCAATGCCTTCGACTTATATTCCAAGTGAAAACAATTACTTAATTGTTTAATAAAAATAAATCAAAATTAAACTACATGGGGGATTATTCAGGGTATTCCAACTTAGTTGCACCAAAAGGGTATCTTACTATACCAAATTAATCCTTGATTCTTCAAAGTTTAGTTTAGCCATAATAAAAAGGAGTATATAACAGCAATAGAATGTCATAAACAGTGCAGAATAAGTCTGTTCACATTTCAGGCGAAATTTATACTGTTGATATAGTGTCAAGACATATTTAAGACGTCAAGAATGTGTCGAGACATATTCAGACATTATTTAGAATGTCAAGAATATGTCGAGACATATTCAGACATTATTAAGAAGGTCAAGAATATGTCAAGACAGATCGAGACAAATTTAAGACAGTCAAGAATTGGTCGAGACTAATCCAGACTCTTATCAGATGATACAGGAAGTGTCGAGAAATTTTAAGACAATGTTCATACTGTCAAGACACTTGTCAAGAAAAATCAAGAACCTTATTAGACAAATTCATACTATGTCAAGAATTTTTTTAAATTATTCAGACAAATTAAGAATGTCGAGTAAAAATTCATGCAAATTCAGACAAAAACTGGTCTTTTCAGACTTTTTGAATTTTGTAGTGTATGTTTCACGGTCGATATCACGGACTGGTTGACCGTTACGATGTTTCGGTGTCTCTGTTTTAACGTTGTCATGAAGAGCACGTGAAGTCATAAATGTTGCATTGATACCGGGGGAAATTTTATAAAGGTATAAAATGCATCATCCATGACTGCACGTGCCTCGCCAAAGTTATAAGGAATCGTATGAAACGCCTTGTAATGTTTTTATAATTGTGTAAAAGCTATACATCAACTACATTTTGGTAAATATAAACAAAATATTGGTTTATAGAACCACTTATTCGGGCTCGGTCGGAAAGAACATAACAAAAAAGTTTTACATACTCAAACAAAATAGTTCGTATGCATAGTTGTAACTTTGTAAAAAGGTAAGCATATTTGGGTAGTTTTGGTATCAGATTAAAGCTTAAGCTTTTTAACAGTTAAGTAATTGTACGGCCTTCAACGATGCGAAAAAACTCACTCATTATAGTATGTTATAAAAAGGCTCCGACAATTTTCGACAAACAAATATGACATACATGAACCAACGATATCCACTGAATTAAAAGCACCATACTTGGGAAATACACATAGGTTAAACATGTGTGTAAGCGCTCAACCCTCCCTAACCCAGAACAGTTGTGTAACAGCATAACATAAGTACTTGCAAACTGTAAAAATCAGTTGCAAAAGGCTGAACCCGATACATCGGTACGAAGCATAAAAATAAACAACTGCCATAAAAACAATAACACTAAGCACCGATATAAGAGTACTCGAAGATACTGAAAGCTAATTCAAAGCCAGTTACAACTAATAAATAAATTATGTTCTCCAAGACTGAAGTATCAATCAGTACACATCCAAGGGATTAAATGCCAGACGTCGTAAACATAATCTTTATTTAAACTTAAGATAAAATAGCTAAGAATTCTCGAAATCGCAGAATTTAACATCGAAAGCAATGGGGCCATGAATTAGTTATTTTATTCCATAATAACTCCAATACCTCTTTAATCGAAGAAGGTAAACATTATAGATTAATTGATAGGGATACCAATATATATCAACCTATCAAGCCATCATACAAAATGTCCATATTTCGCAAGAAAAAAATCATATGACATTTGTACGTTTCTTCTTTTTTCTACAGTTGCAATGGAGGTAATAACGTCGTTAACGGTAAATGATGTATTTCGCGAAGTCAAAATGAGAAATAATGGAAAAAGATGTATTTTTCCACTGATTTTAAATATTAGCTTGAAAACGAGTATATGGACCCCTGTTATTTGACATTATTATTTGTTCAATTTTTTATGAAAAAATCATTGATGAATTTTTTTGAAGGGGCACAATATTTTCAATAATACCATGAAAATCATGTTCATAAGCTGCGATTTAGACAAAAAATTCAAATACGATTTTGTTTTGTTTCAAACAATTATAAAAGCGGTTTCGCTATTAGCAGTCAATTTGGGCAGAATAAGATAAAAAAAAAATCCGTATTTATGTAACCCTGGCTTTACCAATAGGTAAAGATGGGTAACGCATGCCCTTAACGTGTCCATTTATTGTAAAGAAAATAATGTCAACATTGAAAAGTGAAACAAGGGAGCCAATATAAAAAAAAATATTTCTTTGGCCGATTCTGCCCACAATAAATCATTCATATACAGGTAAAGCGATGATTTACATTTGTAAAATCTATGGCATGAAATCAAAAATTACACAACTCCACGTGCTTCTCCGTCTATTTCTATTTCTATGTATGCTTATATCGGGTCGAATGACTGTCGGCAGTCTTCGTATGTAATCTCGATGGTTAAGTAGATGGCAAATAGTCTAAAAATGCACACGAAATACTGGAAATACTGATACATTATAACGAGTCCATGCATTTTTAATTGTTTCTTTTGAACTTTTTGTAATTTGGATTTTCGTTTAGTATGTTATGAATAAAATATAAGAATTTAAGTTAAATCGGTGATCATGAATTTTTACAGCTAATGCGCCTTTAGATTAAAATATTTTTGTATGTATCAAAAATGCCGTATTTTTTTAAATACAATCTATTTAAATGGATCATTTCCAAAGAAGTGTTACACAAATTTAAAGTATAATATTGTAAAGAGGATATTTCAAATATTTTTTTCACAAAAATCCGCTTGTGTTTATCGTTTGGAACAATAATTTTACAGATTACCTTAGTTGTGTTCGGCAAAACCTTTCGGAATTTTGTGTCCTCAATGCTCTTCAACTTTGCATTTTTTTGGCCTTTCTAAATTTTGTGATTCGAGTGTCACTGATGAGTATTATGTAAACGAAACGCACTTCTGGCGTACAAAATTTTAATCCTGGTATCTATGAAAAGTTTAATTAGGTAGGTCTGCCCAAATGACAGAAATGTGTTAATGGTATTATTGTCAAAAATTGCGACCTCATTTATAAGTAGCACATAAAGTTTTTGTTATTGATTACGAGGAAGAATCTTTCTAAATGTAAGTTTGGTCTCTTTCGAGGTCAAAATATATGAAATTCTAATAACAAAAATGACTGAGCTAAAAAAAAGGCATAAATGATCAGAATGAGCACCAGATCAGGAAACTAGGAGACACTATTAACACAATAATTTCGGAAACGGCAAACAAACAACTAAATAAAACAAAATGAAAATTTTGAAAAGAATATCAAGATATAAACATTCTCACTTACTTTCATAACCCATCGATGTAGAAATCACTAAAATGAAAAGCAGACCTTTTCCAAAATAAAACATCCTCACGTATTGACTGTTTTTGGCTTAATGTCCTGTTTAAAAGTATCTGATTTAAACATTGATAATTAAACCTATAAGTGGTTAAAGTTAAACAAAATAAATATTTATATGTATATATTTATTGCTACTGGCGTATAAACAATTACTGATTTCACGTGATAAAGTAATGGAAACGTGTTATCTAAATATTATTTATACATTTGGTTATACTAATCATTAAATGCCAGTCTTTGTAAGAATCAGGCAATTTAGAAGAATTTCAAAACATGGCCGAAAAAATTCGCCGACCTAGCATCCTATTCTAAAAGTACCCTTATCCTGAGTAAGAAATGGTAGGTCTTTTGTGTCTGCGTGTCTAGTAATTCGAGAAATATCAAGATAACTTTTGGTTAGAATGATAGCAAATGACGGAGTTATCTCCCCTTAATTGTTAATTTCTAGTGCATTTCCACCATATTATATCATGAACTACCAGACCAGGAAAAGGAAACGAATGTTATATTCGTGCACCAGTATACATTTTGAACTTAAATTAATGTAAAGTTGAGCGGCTTTTTCCTTATCCTTTCACCACTGCCTGATTATTAGGCAGATTGGCCCTCAATAAACTTGGAACCAGTAGTAAAACATACACTTTAGTGTCTCACATAGGGAGTTTCCTTCGCAACATTAATATTTTCTATTATAATCTTTTGTTCTTCTTCTTCAATGTCATGTATTTAAAATCACATTATGTGTTCATTTTGTTTTATTGTATGGATAAAATAATTACAATTTCTGTTTGTTTGGTTGTCTTTTAATAAGTTTGTACTTACAATGTTTTTTAATAAGTTTGTACTTACAATGTTTTTTAATAAGTTTGTACTTACAATGTTTTTTAATAAGTTTGTACTTACAATGTTTTTTAATAATTTTTTTTCAATAATGTGTTGGTAATGTTGATGAACTGCTTGCAATAGATAATGATGCCGTTTATAGACATCTTGATAATAATGTTCACAGTTATAATGGTTCACACTTCCCTTGATTTTGATGACCGTTGTATAGAAATGAAGAACAAATTATAATGTAGAAACTATTGGGGATCATGGAGTGTTACACTGTTCGTCACACATTGTTGTCAATATAATGGAATGCTATATGACTGTTACACAAGCTTTAAAACCAGGTTTAATCCACCATGTTCTAAAAAAGGAAATGCTGGTACCAAGTCAGGAATATGACAGTTGTTTTCTATTCGTTTGATGTGTTTGAGCTTTTAATTTTGCCATTTGATGAGGGACTTTCCATTTTGAATTTTTCTTGGAGTTCGGTATTTTTGCTATTTTACTTTTTGATTGTATTCAGTAAGCGTGATTCATCATAGGAACAGGACGTATACGTTGATGAGTGAATTTACTTTTTTTCAAATAATCTATCGTGTAAAACTTAATTTTGAATAAAACCAAAAACAGACTTCATTCCAGATTATAAATCTGTGAAAACAAATAAATATATGTTCACGACATCACTATTTTATATCTATTTATACATGTAATACTTTTTAAAATTAACCAACAGTGCAACCAAGTCAACTCAATATCTAAAAATAAAATCACAAAAGTTTGATTGTGGTAGATTCTTAATTAATTATAAATTTTTAAATATTAAATAAAAAAAAAAAAGTCCATTCACCATGGTAAGTCATTTCTATAAGAGACGTCTACAGAAGTGAAAAAAGCTATACGTTATCGTCATATGTATTACGTACGTGTAATGGATGATGTAATGTAGTCTAAATTTGAAATATTTTCAGTTGTCACTTTTTCCTTGTAAACGAGAGATAACTCAGTGTTTAATATGTTACTCAGCATTACAAATGCATTATAAATATCTTGCGTTCGAAGCGCTTCCCGGATTTATCTTCATCTTCAACGTTCAGATCTAAACATTTGAAAGTTATACGTAAAAATATGTAGAAATGTTAGGGACTGCGTTACGTATTACCAATGTATAAGTTATGACGCTTCTCGTGATGTTTTTTTTATTAAGTGTATCTGTTATGCTATGCTATAATATATTGTTTCATTAAAACATTACATGCAACTACCGCCATGCAAATCCACACTCAATCAAAATGTTACAATAGAGAAAATGGCACAGTCGGTTTTTTGACATTTTTACCTATTATGTCTGTTTGTTTTGTTCACACATTGTTGTCAATATAATGGAATTCTATGCGACTGTCCTACAAGTGAGAGGTTTAGCTAGCTATAAAACCAGATTTAATCCACCATTTTCTACATTAAGAAATGCTTGTACCAAGTAAGGAATATGACAGTTGTTTTCCATTCGTTTGATGTGTTTGAGCTTTTGATTTTGCCATTTGATAAAGGACTTTCCGTTTTGAATTTTCCTGGAGTTCGGTCTTTTTGTTATTTTACTTTTTATTAACAGATAAGACAACTATTCTGATAAATAAATGTAAGTCCGCAAAAACATGTCCATTGTGAGTAAAGGCAAAAACACATCGTACCAGTCAACCAATGTGTGATGATGACCGTGAAACATAAGCAGTCGTTCTTCCTCATAATCCTGTTGGAGCAGTTTTTATGCAAGGAGCACACCCCTTTTAGTGAAGTTCATGGCCATATAATATATTGTGTAAGGAGCACACCCCTTTTAGTGAAGTTCATGGCCATATAATATAAACATATGAATTCAAAACTTATACAATAGTATAAACAATACGACACCATTTTTCTGACTATTATTTTGACATCAGATGTACAATAGTTCGAAAGATTGTAAGTCAGTATTTTTATAGAAGGAGGACAAAATAGATTATTGTTAAATAAATTAAACAACCACTATGCTTAATTTTACTTTACAAATACAAGTTTATAGGGAAAAAGATCACACTTGCACATCAATTAATACTCTAGGAAGTTAGAACAAAATGACTTTTAACACATAACAGATAAAGATTTGTAACGCAAATATTTAAATACGTCACAGTCAGAACTGGATTCTTCGCAGACAATATTTTGATCGTTTTTGTATGAAACATCGACATTTTCCGGTGATCTCGATCTTCAGTAATTCCTTCAACTATTTTTTAAACTGACATCATCCGGTAATACGATGAGATAAAGGTACGGTTTACTTTTTACCAAATCCACCATTACAGCAGCCATGTGTTCCAATATCTGGATCTAGCCATAGAAAAAATGTAATATATCATGATTATCACGTGATCTCAATTTTTAAATTATTTCTAATGTTTCAAATGAGCATTCTTATTTGAATTGATAAATTTTAGATCAAATAGGTATTTTACTATTCCTGTTCACTATGTTAGTTCTTTAGATTTTAAAGACGATCGACAATGTATTTCTTCTGTAATTGTTCATTATGTGATCGGACAAACAGATGAACCATAGCATATTTAGCCAATGTAATAAAAATATTAGATGAACCATTTGAGCGATACAGAAAACACTACGGATATATTCAATGATAGCCAGAAGAACTTTTATAGTGGGCATGTAGACCATTAGTGGATAGATTTTCTAAGAGGGACGGGGGGTTTTGAAATGAATGGTTTGGCCTGGTAAGAACAGAAAATAAATAACTTTGCACAATACAGGGTGAAAATGAATAGCCTGCAATACAAAATGCAGGAAATAATTGTGTACAAAAGTGAAAAAAATATTTAGCGCAGCAGCAGCAGATGAAAATGTATAATCAATCCGAAAAAAATCCTTCTGTCCCACCCACCCCAGAATATTAAATGGTTGTACCCTATGGTGAACTTTTTGTAGACATAATCATTCGTAAACTAGGACAACGTTGTTCTTCAGTCAGTCACTGTTGTCGATTTAAAAAATGAAAGCATCAGTCAAACTTCTTTATATTCAATGTTTTATGATTTTTTATCGTATTTTGATTCATTACTTACGACATCTGACAATCTTACTTCTTTACTTCATATTTAGATCTTATATTGTCCCGGATAGGAAAGAACAAAGCTTTCCTAACGCACATTTGCAGATCTAACATTGTTCGGCTAAATATGAGACCAAGTACATATAAATTGTAGTGTTAGACCTGTATAACCACGGTTATCCGATGGAGAACGTCTGTCGTAAAATTGTCACATGTTCAGACTATATGTGACGGCATTGTAAGTAACATTATCATCCTTTACGACAGACAAAACATAACTGATATGAAAGGTACACAATCTACTTGCCCATATACAACCCTGAAAAAACCCGACAATGAAAAGCATTTCTCGTCTAACGAAACCTATATTTTTGTATAGTCTTGTTGGTAAAAAAAGTCTATGGCTCTGAACATAGTGCAGGCGATGTCGATGTCACAGAAGCAAGGCTAATGGAAGAATCGCAAATTTAAGACATAGTATATATAAATGATGGTGATAGCCCTGGTTAACAACGGGTTATCTAATGAAGAACGTCTGTCGTCTGTTGTCATTTGTTTAGACATATTAGTAAACGATCTTTCTTGCGAGGGCGTTGGATCGTAATGAAAAACAATAATGTATACAACAAATAAATAAATTGTATATACGCCTAAGATGTGTACAAAACAACAATAATATTGAAATATAAAATATAATTTATTTATTTATATATAGAATAGTTATCAAAGGTACCAGGCTTATAATTTGATATGTCAGACGCGCGTTTCGTCTACATAAGACTCATCAGTGACGCTCAGATCAAAATAGTAAGAAAGCCAAAACAAGTACAAAGTTGAAGTGCATTGAGGACCCAAAATTCCAAAACGTTGTGCCAAATACGGCTAAGGTAATCTATGCATGGGATACGAAAATCCTAGTATTTCGAATAATTCATACTTTTGCAAACAGTAAATTTATAAAAAAAAATCTCGAAAATAATCCATAATACATAATTGGGAACCCTCCCCTCGTTTGCTACAATGTAACAGCTAGTTTTACGATGAATTTTTTCTTTTGATAGGACTAATCCTGAATATAAAAATCATTATGTTTCTATATAGTGTTTATGTGTTTTTCAATTTTTTTTCTAATAATTGTGCTTAGCTGCCCCCTTTAACTACCAAAAATGGTCGAGCACTTGAGGTAACAGTTCCGTTGAAATTAAAACATAATATAAGCTTTATTACGTTGCTGTCTGTCGACTTATTGCAATAATAATACTACATACCTGCTGGTTCACATTGTTCCGTCTCTGTATTATAAATCTCGTTTCTTTTACATTTCTTTCCCTTTACTGATCTCTTTTCTAAATATCTGATATCTTTAGCACCAAATTCGTTGCTGTCTAAACTTGAAGTTTTAAAAACAGAGTGATCTTTAACTTTTCTATATTCTGAAAATTTAATCCTTTTTATGTATACGGCGATAAAAGAAGTAACTGCAAGTGATGATACAGTTTGAAAAAAGTAACATTGTTATAAAATTAAAACCCGAAAACAAAGAAAAAATATTTCAGAAAAAATGCCTCTAGTAAATATGTTTCGTTTTGCTTTGACTGGTGTTTAATTATAGAAAAAAAACAGATTGAGTATAATACGTTTGTAGTTGAAACAACTGAACATAAAAGGAATTTTGAAAATATATGGCATGGCAAAAATTATTATGCAATAGTTCCTTATTTTATTATATATAACAAACACTTACTCGGAAAACAAACTGCAGTGGTGAATAGCATCAGTGTTATCAAAATAACTAATTGATTCCTTTTGTAGGCCATCATGACACGAGTCGTTTGTTCTAAAAAATAAATATAACTTATTGATCTGACATTTATAAGCAAAGTAATAACAAAGGTATTTAGCTAGTATAGAAAATGATTATAGGATCAAGATAATCATAGCTTTAAAGTTTATAATTGTAACAGTAAACATGTTTACATTGTATTCAGTCAATATAGTTTCAACAACAATTTATATATATATATATATATATATATATTGGTTGAAAGCGGTAAATTTTTCTGTATTTTCGCTTAGTCAATTTACTCCTTATGTAGAAAGATGAATTGCAGGATAAATTGAGCCACATCCTGAGATAAAGTGACTACATTATATCTTTTTTTTTACTTAACAGATAATCATTCTGCACATTCTGATATAAAAAAAAATATAAATAGCGTCCTACAAACCTAAAATACAGATTATGTTTAGAAACACCGACATAGCTAGATAATACTATTAATTATCTTATTACTACCACATTTTATATCAATTAGTATTGTAATTTTCATTGTTATTGATAAATGTTATATGAATATTATAAACCAAATCTTGAATTCTATCCTAATTCTATCCTATTTTGGGGAAATTTCAGAAATTCAAATGTGACGTCACCTTTTTTTAGCGTTGATCTCTTTGGCTAACTCGGCTGTGAATTTTTATGTGGTTTATGTTGTTTTATGTATCCGTTTTTATTCTGTAGTTAGTCACCACTTCGGTGTTATCATGTATATCTATTATATAGTCATTTTTATAAATTTACTGCTTGCAAAAGTATGAATTATTCTAAATACTAAGAATTTTCTTATCCCAGACATATAACCTTAGCCGTATTTGGCACAACTTTTTGGAACTTTTGGTCCTCAATGCTCTTCAACTTTGTACTTGTTTTGGCTTTCGTACTTTTTTGATCTGAGCGTCACTGGTTAGTCTTGTGTGGACGAAACGCGCGTCTTGCGTATTAAATTTTAAACCTGGTACCTTTTATTCGTATGTTTCTCTGTCCTATATGTTCTCCCATTTATTTGTATTGTAGTCCTGTCATGTAATGTCGTCATTTTAATGTTATATTTAACATTGCCATAAAAGGTTTGGCTAGCCACAAAACCAGGTTCAACCCACCATTTTTTTCTTAAAATGTCCTGTACCAAGTCAGGAAAATGGCCATTGTTATATTATAGTTTGTTTCTGTGTGTGTTACATTTTAATGTTGTGATTCTGTTGTGTCGTAGTTCTCCTCTTATATTTGATGTGTTTCCCTCAGTTTTAGTTTGTAACCCGGATTTGTTTTTTTCTCAATCGATTTATGAATTTCGAACAGCGGTATACTACTGTTGCCTTTATTTAGAGTTAGTTTTGAATGTTCTACATACGTCCATTCCTGTTTAAAAGATTTAAAATTCGGTTAAATAAAATTGAAAAATACATCAATAAATAGGTAAAACTTCACTTGTAATCAGTCTATACTAAAGAACATGGAATCAATTTGCTCGCATTTCTAATGAACTGCATCTCAGTGGTGGGCGATGCTCGACTCTAGTTACAAGTTATTGTAATTCTCGTTGGAACTGTTTTTGCGTTGTATTATCCGACCTGTTTCTGTATCCTTCTCAATCATAATTTATTCAGCCATAATTAAACAATTATAAAAGTGATTAAACACAATTGCAAAAGATAAGATGATTTTTGATAATGATTTCGTTGAACATTGCACTGAATACAAAAATTTAGGAATAGTATTTAAGCCATCTGGAGTTTTCGCCTATGCAGTTAATCTGATAAGACAGATATTTCTCCCATATGAAATTTTTAAATGCTTGTGTTAGTCCAATTTTGATTTATTGTAGTGAGATATGGTCACTTAATATTGTAAAGAACAACAAAAACAGTCAAAACATTTGTCAATGTTGGAGATAATTCAAAGGCAGTAAATATAGCTGTATTAGCTGAATTAGAAATTGTCCACATTTTTATTCAGGCTCCAAAGTTTTGGACAGGATTCTGGCTACATATTTCAAACTCAAAGGAGTCTTAACTATATAATGTTTATAAAGTTAACCATGATAGACATTAAAATCACACTATCCAAATTGAATTTTTCTCGTGTTCTGGAAAATCAATGTACTTTTTCTAAAAGGAACGATTACTTTAGGCTTTAGCAAAGAGGCTCAAGGAAAATTACAATACATTTGGAAAAATAGTCTTTTTAATGATGAGAATTCGATTAATGGAAATAAGTTAAGAACTTATAGAAAATTTAAAGTAAAGAGTGAACGCAAAAAATCTTTTATTAAAATTTAAATAAAAATGTTGTTAAAACTATGCCAATATAAGAATAAGTAAGAGCACGCTAGCTATTGAACGTGGTAGATATAATGATAAAAGCAGATTTTTGGTAATAATAATCTGCGGGCGGGAATAATAATAATTTGCGGGCGGGAATGATAATAAAATGCGGGCGGGATTGATAATAATCTTCGGGCGGGAATAATAATAATCTGCGGGTGGCCGCCGAATAATTATTTTTAATGCATTTCTTATCGGAAAAATAAAAATAATCGGGGGTTTCTCTGCGGCTTTCCATACATTTCTTATGGGAAAAATAAAAATAATCGGGGGGTTCACTGCGGCTTTCCATAGTTTCGTAATATGTGTGCACAATTCTTAAAAAGAAAATATTTTATAAAACTTCTTAATATTGTTCCTTGTTTTATTTCAATGAGTAATGGGGGGGAAAATGATTTTTATTTTCTCTTGGGAAGAATATGACATTTTGATAATTATTTTTAATGGCATAAGTGAGATGTATAATTACAGAAACAATATTAAAAATTGTGTATGAACTGTTGATTTTACATGTATACCTTTCTTTCTTTTAATATAAACTAATATATGAATGAATAACATAAAAGTATGCAGAATTTCTTCTATTTCTTGCAACTATTCTAAATATTATAATTGTTATGCTGATTTGAAGGGAGGCATATTGTCTAGCATTTAAGATAAGAAAAAGAAAAAACTAACAAAGAACATTTTTTATTTTTTTTTATTTTTTGTAAATGTTACATATTTGTATTGTTTATTGTTTATTTGTGTTATCTCATGTATTTAGTAGCAATCCGATTGTTTGGATTGTACACTAATAAATATCTATAAACATCATAGTACATAAACCGGTATGGACATGTTTGTGCTTAATATTTTTAATTATGCAATCGCCTTTAAAATGCAAAATGTATGGCTTTCTAATAAGTCAGAAACAAGACAAAAGTAACGAAAGAAACGGGCTGGTAAAAACCAGCTGTATATGCTATAGAAAAACTATACGGCAACGGTTGTTACAAGCCCTTTTTTTGTTACCTTTGTTCTGTAAATAATACTTGTCAGATCGCTTTCAGAAATGCGCCCTTTATTGGTTCCTCAACATTGCTCGTACAAATAACACAATTAATGGCCACAAAAAACGAGCGGGAACTCGAGATGAAGAAACTAGTAAATTACGCCGTCTAAGCAATTTTGAAACGGATAAAATTATTTAATGCTTGATAGTAACAATCCTATCGTTTGGGTTTGGACTCATACATGATATTCTCCTTCTAATATCGTTCACTAGTAATGATAATAATGTTCACCTAAACTTATTATTTTATCTTATTAATGTATCTGTACTTAGTGCATGGTCACAAAGTTCTACAATTTGGCATAAGTCGCATCTGCTTATCTTCGAAAAATCTCATACAACTTAAAGTTTATTTGTATTGTCCAAAAAAGAGGACATTTAGCTTTGGTAACTCACATAATTGGTAAAATGATGTTGCTTTACTTTTTAATTATTTGTTTCAATTCATTCTGTGATGGATTTGTGTTATCATCTAATATATTAAGTGGATCTAAAATAACAGATCAGCATTATATTGCTCTATTCGATCAAATAGGAGCTGAACAACATGCCAGAAGACAGCTTCAATCATTCATTATTGACACGCAGAGGGAATTAGTGGCAATGAAACAGGAAGTGATTACGTTATCGACACAGCTGAATAACGATTGCAAGGAAAGTGATATTCTGAATATAGTACATGAAAATGATTTTTTACGTTACAATTTAAGTAAAGTACGACATACACATAAAGAATTGAAAAGCGAAATACTAAACATGACACAAAATCTTAATCAACTCCAAATGAACAATATTGAGTTACAAGAAGCCCACAATCACATGTTTCACGACTATACAACCCTTTTAATAGAAAACACCCTACATTATTCCATGTTGAATGATCTTGCAAATATGTCATCCAATTTAAACAATAAGTTCTATAACTTCCTGAATTCAACCGAGGGAAATATTCTTTGGCAACTTCACAAAACCCAAGAAGATAAACAGATTTTGGACAGTCAGTTAAATAGTGCCATTCAAGAAATAAATCAATTAAATAGGATAACCACTGCTCGGACCCAGGATTTCTTAGCTTTTATAAAAGAAACATTGAACCTTAAGAAGAATTTTGATTTGTTGGAACTGGGGTATAATAGTTTGCTTGAAGAAAGCAACAGAATACAGAATGATACTTTACGAAT